TGCAAAAAATAAAAGGATCCAAGATAGGTATTGTATAGGTACTTTGGTTTTTAACAATTTTTTACTTTAATCACTTATATTTTGTAACAATTTAACGTAACCATTGCATATAATGAGTGTTTTTATAATTATTACTTTCTTAAATATTAAAATCTTTCCTTACTCAAAAACTTTATTTTTTTTTTTTTTTTTTTTTAATTTAGATTTAGAGTTGACTCAAAATGGAAAAGAAAGAAAAGACTGTATTTTTGTGTATTTGGATTGCTTTTGATTTACTTATATTTATATTTGTTATTTAACCAACATCTATTACTTAAAGATAAGTTTTTAAGTATATCTATTTTGTAAATGTATATAGGAATATGTAATATAATTATATTATTATGTGCTTGTGTATACTTTATCAAAATTGTTAATAATTTTTTAGAAAGCGTTTATTACTTTACTAATTTTTTATTTATTTGTGTAATTGCTGTTGAAGTGAAATGTAAATCACGGAAATTTTTATATTTTTTATGTAAATTAAAGAAAATTTGTTTTCAGAAAGTATTTTCAAAAACATACCATTGATTTTATATATATAAGATTTGCTAGAAATAATTTATTTAAATTTTACTTTTATTTACGGAAACTATCCGCCAGCTGAGTTTCCTTTCCGTTGTTTAACGGGAAAGACTTGTTTAATATAAACGGAAGTATCCGTTTATTTACGGAAAAGTTCCGGCAGCTGCCGATGACCAAACTACCCGTTGTTTAACGGAAAAAACCCATTGTATTTTAACGGGAAAAATCCGTTTGTCAACGGAAACATCCGTTTACATGCGATGGGTTTTTCCGCAAAATGACGGGTAGTTTGGTCATCGGCAGCTGCCTGAACTTTTCCGTAAAAAACGCGCTATATTTTTAACAGTGTACTATGCATTTAATTAAAAATGTAAGAATTTGATGGTTCAACAGAGGTTTTTGCTTCCTCCAATTACGTTTTTCATTTCAACGATGGCTTTTCAGTTAAACGTAGAAAAGTACCATAAAAGCAATTTCATTACATAAATAAATTTAATCTCAGTTCAGTTGAAAATATATATGATTTAAGTAAAAATAAATATGATCTAAAATAAATGTGATCTAAGTTCATATTGAAAGTGAAGCTTTAAAGCTTCAAATAAAGTCCTTTACCCAGGTATATATATAAGCAAAATGTTGAGGTTGCTCTTGACTTGTTTCATAAAGACACAAGCTTTCTGAAATTGCACATTCCTTTAGATGAGCAAGCTTAGATGCTGAAAACTTTTTAGATTTGTTTAATAAATGTTTGGTCAATATTAACAGTAAAGAATAAATTTTTTTTAGTAAATACGTAGAATATGCTAAGTTATAAAAAACCTGAATTTTTTAAGCAACAATTACTTACGAATGAATAATTGGAAAAAGTTTTAAAAATTTTTATACAGTGAGCAATTTTTAAGATATGTTCTAATTAGTTCCGCATATAAATTAGCATTTAGTTACAAAACTTTTTCAATTGAAGATCTTTAAAATGACTGTCATATATTTGTCATGGGTACCAGATTTCTAACCTTATCTTTATTGGAAAAGGTTAGTAAATTAAAGATAAGGTTTGGACAGTATTGGCAAAAAAAATGGCACTATGTTTTTAATAAGCTTATAAGATCTTTGTGTTGAAAACTCAAAAATAAAGTTTAGTAAAAAAACACATTGGTATGTGCTAAAAGATTCCCTAATTAAGTAATAATCAAAAAAAAAAATTTAACATTTAAACAATCGCGAGTGCTCTTTTTTAAACAATGCATGTGTGTCGGAAGATAGTAGAAAAGTTGTGTTACATATATGTTTCAATTCTCACAAGATAATTATTTTTTGTAAGATAATTATAGTTTTGTAAAAATAAATTTGTTTTTTTTTTTGCTCATTAATACATTTGCTGAATAAATTATTTAGTGATAAACACAATGAATGTATATACTTTGACTAATTTAGGGATAGGCGCAGAGGATTGTACATATGTTGACTAAATTAGACAAGGATAGACGCAATGGAGTGTACTTATATTGATGAGGTTTTAGGTTGAGCAGGCTGTTTATTTTAAAACAAGTCCCCTTTTTTTTCTATTTTATTTCGTATATATCATACAAATTTTATAACATTAATTGCTATTACTTTATCATCTCAAACTTTATTTTCTTTTAATTTTTTTTTTTTTTTTTTTTTTTTTTTTTTTTTTACAAGTGAAGATCTTTAATAAATATATTTAAAAAAAAGAACGCAGAAACTCGTAGAAGACCGTAGGGTCTTGTTGTCGTTGAGAACCGGTATAAAATGACGTTTTTCATATTTAAATGTAGTAAATATTCCACGTAGTAAATAAAAAAGTAAGTGTTTTGCAATAATAAACGAATAACAAGAGTTAAATAAAAAAATAAAAATTTATAAAAGATTTCTTAAAGATAATATAGCCAGATGATATAATAACAATATAGGTTTGGAGATCCTGAATATTTGAAATACAAATCATACAAACCGATCATTTAAAATCATACATTACATACCATTAAACCGATATAAATAATAGATAAAAAAAAGAATTTCAAAAGTTTTAAAAGTACATTTATACTTTAAATTATACTTTATATTGTATTATTTATATTATTTATACTATATATTATACTTTATGTTGTCAATTTCAAAAACTACTTCTTTCAACTTTTTTTTAAAAAATATGTAATTCTATTCAAAAGAAAAATCAGTTATTAAAGACAATTTTGTTTCAAAGATACGGTCAACGAAATGATATGCAAAATTGACAATGATTAGTTCTAGAAAATGATTGCATTAAAAAAATCATCATTTCAAAGATCGTATTTATTTTTTTGTTTTGTTATAAATAAACTATTAAAAGGAGACGGAGATAATTTCGTTTTACATTTGTATATAAAACAAAGAATATTATATACGTTAAAATGATATATGATAAAAACATTCATTTTTCTAAAGGAAGGCTTTGAATGACTTTGTCGATCGCAAGAATTAACTAAACGTTCCATATGTTTCTGATGACAATGAAAAGGCTTAAGTTTACTTTTGTTGGTACTGCCCCACGCAAAATTTTTATAGTTGGCATGGCAATATCAAGTATGAAACTATGGCAGTTTAAAAAGTGAATAACTTAAAAAGTGAAAACAGTTGCGCTAAAGTGCCCATGTTTAAATACATTTTTGATTTGTATAATATTCCAATACTTTTTGAAACTTTGTTGCTTAAAATTTTGATGTGCTGTCTCCATGTAAGATTTTTATCAACATTGCTGAAAACTGCGCAGTTTTTACTCTTTTACTTAAATATATCATCAATGAATATAGAAGGCGTTTTGTATCGTATTAAGTTTTTTATGGAAAGCGGATGAAATAGAGTCCAGTTAGTTTTGTCAATGTTTACTGAAATTTTATTTACTTTGAACCAGTTAGAAATTTGTTTTAAGTTATAAGTTCATAATTTCACATGATAAAGTAATGTTGTTGTGCGATAAAAAATAAATTTGTGACGTCGGCAAACATTTTTTTCTTTTGGCTGGATGCTTTATAGAAATCATTGACATATATAAGAATGAGATCATTGACATTTATAAGAAAATAAAGAGGTTTAAATATAGAATCTTGATGCAACCTACGAGTATTGTTTAGTAATGTTTTTTATGATTTAGCGTCAGTTCTTACATATTGAGAACGATTATTTAAATAAGTCTTCACCCATTTTCAAAAGAATCCTGTAACTACATATAATTCGAGCTTTTTAATAAGAATTTGATGGTTAATAGTATCAAAAGCTTTTGATAAATCAATAAAAGTTCCTAATGTATATTCAGATTTATTAAACGATTTGTTAATACTACGTGTAAACTGGAGTATTACATGTTCGGTGGAGTTATTATTTATGAAACCGAATTGATTATTAAATAATATATTATTTACAGAAAGATGAGTGTTGACTTTCGTATATATAATATAAGATATTCGTATATAAGAGATAGGTCAATAGGTATTTATATTAGTTGCATCCCCTCCTTTGAGTATAATTTAATCGTTTTAAAAGCAACTTCGATTTCCTGAAAATAAATTTTAATGCAATTAAGACTTGTTGAGAAAAAATATTCAAAAGTATAACTTGTAGATGAAATTTTTTTTGCTAAGTCCCGCTAAAATAAAATGCTTATTCAATTCAATTGCAATCTCGCTTGAAGCATATAAAGTTATATTATATGCGTTTAGTTATATTTAATTTTTATTTTTTTCACTACTGAGCATTGGTACGTATGTTATACGGACAAACTTGTTTATTTTTAGAAATAGCAGTTTGATGTGAATATAACGCACTAATTCAACATATATTTAAAATTAACGACACGATATAAAATTGAAATATTAAATACTAGATTAAGCACCTGGATGACAGTATTAAATCATAATTGTTTAATAGTGTTTTTGCACCTGGATTGACAATATTAAACCATTATGATCGTTTAATAGTGTCACAATAGTGTCATTGCACAAACAATAATGTACTTATACGTATTATAAGATAGAATAGTTTTCTTTTTAACTTAAAAAAAAGTAGATTTCCCAGCTAACATTTTCAATGGTATGAAAAAAGTTAAATGTAATGGACAAAAAACTTTGAGTTTATTATTGTTATACACAAAAAAAAAATCAAAGATTTTTGTTTCTTACAGGCAAACACCCATTAAACTGTGTTTATAAACACATTTTAATGTGTTTTTGTATAATTATCAGATGACAATTTGATAAATCGCATCCAAAAATTTATAAATGTATATTAAAAATCTTATTATTTCTTCTATACATTTTTATGAATATTTCTGAAATTTATCTTAAAATGAAATTTTTAGATTAAATCATTAAAAAAAATATTGTAGTGTTTTTGATAGTAGTAAAGAGTAAATAACTACAAAAAAAATTTTACTTTACCAAACAATATAAAAATGCAAAACCATTTGCATTTTTAGCAAATATTGTAGCGCTATCTTAAAAATCAATATATCATTTGAGGTTTTTTTTATGCAATGTTATGAGAGTAAATAATTAAACTTTGCAAATCTATATCACGGTAAACTTCTTAAACTAGTAACGCAGCAAGGGTATTCAATGTGCGACATGGAACCTTTTTGAAATAGTGCATAAATGTGATAAATTTGATAATATATATATAAATAATGTAAAGAACAATTCCACGCTCGTCTCTCGATTTTTCTTAAAAGTCTTTGGTCTTTAATATAATAATATTAAATAGATATAAAAAACTAATTTTTGATATTTAGTAAGCTCATAGTAGATACTGCGAAAAATAAACTAAAGTTATATGATGGGTTTATTAAACTCTCGTTCATGCGAGAAAAAACAAAGCTTCACAGCGAGGCAAAATTTTCCGATTGTGTTTTCATTTCTAGATCAGCACCGTAATTCAGCTAAAAAAGCTGACCGGAATTATTAACATAATAACTGGTTGTTTTTTTTTTTTTAATTTTCTCTGATAGTTTCAAAAACTATAGAAATATTTTTAAATTAAATTTTCATCACCCTTTATTATTAGTAATCGCTACAACATGACATCACAACCTAATTAGACGCTTTAGGGTATTTAGAAATCTGGTTAATATGCTATTTTTAATTAATTTAAAACTTTCTATAAGTATAAAAGAAATAATAAGTCAGTATATGAGTTATTTATTATCTATTATCAGTCCATGTTATATCATTGTAAAATTCATATACTACGTTTTATGCTAATTTTATCTTAAAACGTTTCTTAAAACTTGTTTTACAAGATACTTTGCACTTATAATAGAATAGAAAAAAATAATAATAGAAAAAAACTTATAATGGGACAATAGAAATGGGACATAGAGTCCCATTTCTATTGTTCCATTATTGCTTTGGAGTTAAAGTGATGCAAATATACTTGATTTTGTTGGCGTTTATTTGAATAAGTTATCAATTTCAAGTTTTTTTATTGCTTTTAGTCTATATTCATTTTAGTCTATGTTCATTTTGAAACGCTAATTGTTTAATGATAGGAGGCGTTTAGTAAATGTGACTTTATTTTGTTTTTGTTTTTATTTATTCGACGTATTTGCAGATATGAAAATTGGCATGTGATCTGAAATCGTATCGACGTATTGGCAGATATGAAAATTGGCATGTGATCTGAAATCGGTGCTTTAACTATTCCTTTTTTTAACGAGTTTTCAAATAAAAAATTAGTTAATATATTGTCTATTAATGTTGTAGAATTTCTTGTTATTCGTGTTGGTCTGTTTATTAAAGGGATCACATCATATCGAAATAAATCATTGTAAAAGTTTTGACTTTCTATATCACTGTCATAATTTAGGGCGTTAATATTAAAGTCACCTAAGACAAACTGTTTTTTTTTTTCTAGAGAAACTTTTTGAATAATATTCTGGAGATGATTTGAGAAATTTTCTATGGACGCATTTGGCGGTTTGTAATAACAAGTTACTAAAATATTTTTGGTCTTATCATTAACTATTTCAATCGAAACAAATTCGCCGTTGCATTCAGATATGCACGGCATTTCGCATTTTAAACCGCAAGCTATTTTTGACGTAAATAACAACACCACCGCTTCTTTTTTTAGACTTTCTTTGTAAGTGAATTGCGTCATATTCTAGTAAGTCAAACCGACAACTTTCGCTATATGCATCATCAGTTAGCCAAGTTTCATTTGCATTTTTAGCAAATATTGTAGCGCTATCTTAAAAATCAATATATCATTTGAGGTTTTTTTTATGCAATGTTATGAGAGTAAATAATTAAACTTTGCAAATCTATATCACGGTAAACTTCTTAAACTAGTAACGCAGCAAGGGTATTCAATGTGCGACATGGAACCTTTTTGAAATAGTGCATAAATGTGATAAATTTGATAATATATATATAAATAATGTAAAGAACAATTCCACGCTCGTCTCTCGATTTTTCTTAAAAGTCTTTGGTCTTTAATATAATAATATTAAATAGATATAAAAAACTAATTTTTGATATTTAGTAAGCTCATAGTAGATACTGCGAAAAATAAACTAAAGTTATATGATGGGTTTATTAAACTCTCGTTCATGCGAGAAAAAACAAAGCTTCACAGCGAGGCAAAATTTTCCGATTGTGTTTTCATTTCTAGATCAGCACCGTAATTCAGCTAAAAAAGCTGACCGGAATTATTAACATAATAACTGGTTGTTTTTTTTTTTTAATTTTCTCTGATAGTTTCAAAAACTATAGAAATATTTTTAAATTAAATTTTCATCACCCTTTATTATTAGTAATCGCTACAACATGACATCACAACCTAATTAGACGCTTTAGGGTATTTAGAAATCTGGTTAATATGCTATTTTTAATTAATTTAAAACTTTCTATAAGTATAAAAGAAATAATAAGTCAGTATATGAGTTATTTATTATCTATTATCAGTCCATGTTATATCATTGTAAAATTCATATACTACGTTTTATGCTAATTTTATCTTAAAACGTTTCTTAAAACTTGTTTTACAAGATACTTTGCACTTATAATAGAATAGAAAAAAATAATAATAGAAAAAAACTTATAATGGGACAATAGAAATGGGACATAGAGTCCCATTTCTATTGTTCCATTATTGCTTTGGAGTTAAAGTGATGCAAATATACTTGATTTTGTTGGCGTTTATTTGAATAAGTTATCAATTTCAAGTTTTTTTATTGCTTTTAGTCTATATTCATTTTAGTCTATGTTCATTTTGAAACGCTAATTGTTTAATGATAGGAGGCGTTTAGTAAATGTGACTTTATTTTGTTTTTGTTTTTATTTATTCGACGTATTTGCAGATATGAAAATTGGCATGTGATCTGAAATCGTATCGACGTATTGGCAGATATGAAAATTGGCATGTGATCTGAAATCGGTGCTTTAACTATTCCTTTTTTTAACGAGTTTTCAAATAAAAAATTAGTTAATATATTGTCTATTAATGTTGTAGAATTTCTTGTTATTCGTGTTGGTCTGTTTATTAAAGGGATCACATCATATCGAAATAAATCATTGTAAAAGTTTTGACTTTCTATATCACTGTCATAATTTAGGGCGTTAATATTAAAGTCACCTAAGACAAACTGTTTTTTTTTTTCTAGAGAAACTTTTTGAATAATATTCTGGAGATGATTTGAGAAATTTTCTATGGACGCATTTGGCGGTTTGTAATAACAAGTTACTAAAATATTTTTGGTCTTATCATTAACTATTTCAATCGAAACAAATTCGCCGTTGCATTCAGATATGCACGGCATTTCGCATTTTAAACCGCAAGCTATTTTTGACGTAAATAACAACACCACCGCTTCTTTTTTTAGACTTTCTTTGTAAGTGAATTGCGTCATATTCTAGTAAGTCAAACCGACAACTTTCGCTATATGCATCATCAGTTAGCCAAGTTTCACTTAAGCAAATTATATTGAAAATAAAATTGCTTTCCTCTAAGAATATTTTAAAGTTTTCAAAATTTGCTTTAGCCCTTCTTATGTTAAGATGAAGAAGAGATAAGTTCTCAAAAGGTTCAATATCCGATAAATATTGTTTTATTTCATCTGGAAATAAATACTGTGCTTCCGTTTTTATTAATGAATAGTCATCAAATATAATTTTATCAGGATCGTGCTCATCGAGCGTATTTAAATTATCTAATCTGAAAACATTAAATGAACTATTTTCAAAGTAATTTTCGTTTTCAGTCATATTGGAAACCATTTTTAATTTTTAATTAATATTATTTTAAATTATTTAAATTTTTTTTTTTTAATTTATTTCTCTCTTCCTTTAGAAAACTTATCTCTTTTATTCGCAAAACTATAAAATAGGACCCTTATGTATATAAAAAGATATAAAAATATAAAAAGATAGAAAATATTAAAAACATAAATTACTTTTCTTTTGATTCCAATCCCGAACGATTAATTTATCGTACGATATGTAAGCGAACTGTCTTTCCGCTTTCATTTTTTCTTTCAAATCCTTTCTTATTAGGTTTGTTTCTGCGCAAAAATCTTCATTAATGTAAATGTTTTTTTCTTTTAATGTTAATGACTTTGTTAAGATAGCAATTTTATCCTTAAAGTCTAATAACTTTAAAACAATAGTTCTAGGTTTTTTATTGTATATACCGTCTACCCTTAGGTTGTTTCTTCTGGACCTGTCCTCCATTTCTCTTAATTTCTTTTTTACATATGTAAATGCACTTTTATTATTTTTTGTTTCGTTATAATTTTTATTTTTTTCCACTGTGATAACGGCGGTTTTTATCTTCTTCTCAACAAGTTCTTCATGAAGTTCTTCGTTTTTAACTCTTCCACATCTTTTGATATAGCTTTAATAATATTAACATTGTCGTTCGACATCTTTTCCACTTTATCAAGACGCTGCTTTGTTATTTTTAGATTAGCGTTAATTATATTTGCAAAATTTCTTTTTTGTTTTTCAGTATTGCTTCAATTTTGTTCTCAAACTCCTCAAACATATCCTTTATCATTATTTTTATTTCCACTAATGTAACTGTCATTTTTGTTGATTTGTTGTTTTATTTTTATATTATTATCATTTTTATTCTTATTTTTTTACGATCGTTACAAAAGGTTTTAAGATTTACTTTGTAGTCTCATTTGTAACAACTTCATAAAAGTATTAATGACATTAGTCATTAATACTTTTTATGGATTTTTTTTTTCGTTGCTAATCTTTTAATTTTTTTTTTTTTTTTTTTAATTGAGTTTTCATGCTATATTTTCCTTACAATGTTCTTATATCCGAAGATATTGTTGGGTTAGCATCGGAACAACCACAAATAGTCATTAAGACTAATCCAAAGTAGCGTCCGTTATTGACCAACATTTTTGTGTACCGAAGTACTACTCAAGCGTTGAGTTGGCGGTGGCAGGATTTGAAATTGTATCGTTTAAC